TGGGTTCCTACATGCACGGCCGCGCACCTGAGGCAGAAACTCTCAAATATGCGCGGTCGCATGCGCGACCGTGCATCTGGGCGCGTATATGACACATGTCCAGCAAAATGGCCATAACTTTCCATAAACATATCCAAATGACGAACGGTTTGATGAGTTGGAAACTAGACTCAAAGAGCTTTAATTAGATAGGTTATACACCATGTAACGCTTCATATCTTGATAGTTATGCTAGGTTGAAATTAGGTATTGTGCGAACTCAATTGAAACTTTATTCCATCATATAATTTTCAACTTGACTTAACCTTAGGGCTCTTCTTAGACCATAAACCATTCTTAATGTACATCATACATATATTATCATGATCAATTAATATCATTCAAATTATCAGTCTTGTTCATACATGAATTAATATAATTAGCACCCGCCAATCTTCTTAATGGTCTTAAAACACTTCAAAATTTTTTGGGATGTTACAAATTCGGTCTTTTACAATTTCTCTAACAAGTTCTAATATAATTTAGGCACTTAAATTAACAAGTAGGGTGCAAATATTACAAGTAATTCATGATTTGGGTCCTAAACTACCCGGACATAAGCACAAATAGTAGATACGCACGCACTCTTATCACTTCGTGCGTACGTAGCCCCCACAATCAGAGGCAAATATTAATTTAGATTACCTATGGGGCAAGTTCCCTCTTACAAGGTTAGACAAGAGACTTACCTCGTCTCAAGACTCACTTTCCGGTCACAATTTCGTCCTAAAGCCTCAATTCGGTGCCAAACAATCCAAAACTAGTCAAATGTTATATAAATTAATCAATACACGTTCAAAAGTTCATATTCCAACTATTAGAGCGATTACCCAACCCCAATTGAAAGATTCTTAAAATTCATCCGCAGGCCCACGTGCCTGGATTCCGAGAATTTTCGAAGAAAGTTGTTACCCATAACCTCACAAACTCAAATATAAAATTTTCACTCAATCCCATAACTATTTTAGTGGTTAAATCCCATTTTTATCAAAACCTATATTTTTTTTTACCTAAACCCATGATTATTACAATTTTTACATGTTAAAATCTACCCATAATCTACGTATTTTAACTCACATTGTATAGAAATTACTTACCTCAAAGTACTAGGTGAAAGCCCCTCTACAAAAGCTCCAAACTCGCCCGATGAATGAAAGAAAATTAGTCAAAATGGTTTAACTCCCGACTTAAATAAACCTCACTGCCTCAAGGACTTACGCACTTGCGGTCACTGGGCCGCATCTGCGGCATCGCTTCTGCGGAGGTAGGTCCGCTTCTGCGGAATTCCCCAGGTCCAGAAATGGCCGCTTATGAGAGCGGAATACCGCTTATGCGGTTCCGCTTCTACGGATGGCCAAGCGCATCTGCGGCCCCATCGCACATGCGGGCTATTCCTCGCAGAAGTGAGGCCGCTTCTGCGCATGGTTCTCCGCTTCTGTGGCCACTAGTCAAACGCCCCAAAGTCGCATCTGCGGCCACAAGCTCGCATCTGCGGCCAAAAGCTCGTAGGTGCGGGCACACAAGAACTGGTGCACCAACAACCCTTTTTATGCTCTAAATCGATCCGAGCATCGTACGGATGGCCCCCGAGGCCCCCAGGCCCCCAAGGCCTCGTCCAAACATACCAACAAGTTTGTAAACATAAAACGACACGCTCACACCCTCGGAACGCGGAAAACAACATTAGAACTAAGAATCGCAACCCAAACCTAAATTACTCGGAATAACACCAAATTTTGTGTGCAAGTCTTAAATCACAATACGGAACTATTCCCAGGCTCGGAATCCCAAACGGACCTCAATAACATCAAAACCTACTCCAAACCAAATTTAAAGAACTTTAAATCCTTCAAGGGGCCAACTATCAATATTAAGCGCAGAAAACGCTCTCGGGTCATCCAAAACCCGATCAGAATATACGCCCAAGTTCAAAATCATCATACGAACCTATCGGGACCATCAAATCTCAGTCCCGAGATCGTTTACTCAAAACGTTGACCAAAGTCAAACTTATCCCATTTTAACCATCCTTAAGGAACCAAGTGTTCCAATTTCAACCCGAACCTTTCCAAATCCCGAACTAACTATCCTCGCTAGTCATAAAATGGTAAAAATACATACAGAGATATTTATTTAGGGGAACGAGGATCTAGAAAGCAAAACGACCGGTCGGGTTGTTACAGAAACGAACAAGTCTTACATAATAAGTAGTCATGCACAAAAGGATAGTAGTTCAAATATAATTAAGATAATAATTTGAATTCAAAATAAGTAAAGATTTAATAAGAGAATTTTTTAGTTAATTTTAAAGTTCTAAATATTAGGAAAACAAAAATTAAATTATAATTTTGTCTATTGTAAAGACTATTTTAAAAGGGTATAAAAGGTTAACGATGTTTTGCTAAGTGACTTGGTACTTTTAATATAGTATATACATATAGATTTATGTTACTATATTTACTTTTGAAGATTCAATTTAGAATTCTTTTAAAAAAGTTTTCAGTAATCAAATCTACTTATATAAATAGTAAAACGCAAAATCGCATTAATGAATTTATTAGTATTTATATTCAAATGCCGTAGATATCAGAAATCTCACTCTAAAATTATTGAATAGACGAGCCGCGTCTAAAAAATATAAAACGCTGCGACTACGGCATACAAATCTGGAATCCGACCGAGCTTTCCCAATCAAGCCTTAGGGGGTTATTCTCACTACAGCCATCTTCATCAGCATCACTGATAGACACTTCACATTCACACCTGAATTGAAGGATTCTTCTCAAGTCTTGACTTCTTTTGGATTCCCTAAGATCTTTTCAGTCTTGAACTCCTTCTTGCTCTTCTCAATTAACCCATTTGAATCCCTCTGCATTTCGGTACTTACTTCAAAGACTAATTGCCTTTTTGGCTCGTTCAAATTTCACTTAATCTTGTGGTAATTTAATTCTAAACTCGGGCTTTTGTTTTCCCCCCCTTCAGTTGGTGAATGCAAGTGTGAGCTGCCATGGAAGAGTAAGTAATCTTTAAAATCTTGGCTTTGATATCCGCTCTTTTTTCGTTTTGCTAGTGTTTATAAGAATCATATATAGATCCTATAGTTGGTTTGAAGTAAATAACTAAATCTAAAGTCCTTTGGCAGCCAAGGTTAAGGATTCTGGGTTTTTTAAGGAGATTTAATAGTAGAGAGTTTAATTTTTTATGTAGGGAGAATGATACAGAGCTGCTGCAAAGATTCCGGCGAGACAGGCGGATACTCTTGAATTTTATACTTTCAGGAAGCTTAATCAAGAAGGTGGTAATGCCTCCCGGGGCTGTTTCCTTGGATGACGTGGATCTTGATCAAGTGAGCGTTGATTTCGTCCTCAATTGCGCAAGAAAAGGTACGGAACAAGATACATACTCTACATATATGAATTCTAGTTATTACATTAGCAGTTCACTTTATTCAACTAGTTTAGTTGCTTTATTTTATTTTTTGTTTCCTTTTTTNAAGATACATACTCTACATATATGGGTTATAGTTATTACATTAGCAGTTCACTTTATTCAACTAGTTTAGTTGCCTTATTTTATTATTTGTTTCCTTTTATTTTTTTTGTAGGTGGACTCCTTGAACTATCTGAAGCTATTAGAGATTACCATGACAGCACTCTGTTCCCTCATATGGTAAATTCGAACTTTCATATACATTAATTTCTGCTATTTATGAATGTTCCAGTTTCCGAGGTTGATCTATTATAGCTTATAATTATTCCACTTAGGGGATTGTTATACAGCACTTCTACATTAATTTCTGCTATTTATGAATGTTCCAGTTCCCGAGGTTGATCTATTATAGCTTATAATTATTCCATTAGGGAATTGTTATGCAATACTTTTTGCCTATTGCAAAGCACTATTTCAGGCCTTCTATGCACATCAATTTTATTTTCATTCAATGATTTCCTTTTGGTATAAGAGTAATGCAGGTTCAACTGATGAATTCTTTCTAGCTACAAATCCTGAATTATCGGGTTCGCCTCCAAGAAGGTTACCCCCTCTTGTCCCTGTTGCCACGCCATTACCAAATTTGGCAACACTGTCAACGTCAGAGTCCGTTGATACTGAACCATTTGAAGAGCCGTCTAGTCTATCCAAATCCATGTCTCTCAATTCCACACAACAACAAGAGTTGACAGTTGATGACATTGAGGATTTTGATGACTTTGACGATCTAGATGAAGTTGACAATAGAAGGTATTCAAGAAGAGTTCTCAATGATGCTTCTGATCTTGTGCTTGGATTGCCTTCATTTGCCACCGGTAAGCATGATTATTTTAGGCGTATATGCATATGGTGGACTGGTTGTTCCACTTCCATAATTTTGTGGCCATTTTTTGCATTATTGGGTTGAGATTTATTTGCTTCTTAGCTCTAAGGTGCTATGCATGTAGTTGGTTATACCAGAGAAATAAAGAAGATCAGGAGAGTCAGTAATTCGAGATCATTCTTTGATGCTATATTTGTACTGCTTGTTACTTTGTGCTTATGAGGCTGACACGTGACTAGGAAACCATTAATAGCGTCGATGTTGATGTACTATATAACTACTCTAGGTTAGTGTGCAAGTTTCATCCACCAATTTTTTTCCATGACCGAAAAATCCATCTGGAACTGACCCTTTAGGCCAACCACAACCTTTGAAACTCAGGGATGATGGGCCTGCCCCTCTACTCTTCTCCACTTAAATACCAGAGTTAGTTCGCTTGTTGCAGGGCTCGAACTCGTAACATTAGACACAAACCCCTCAATTTTGCCAATTGAGCTGACCCTGCGGGCAACTACACAAGGCAAACAATTTTCACCCACCAATTATGGATTTCAATTCTCATCCATGTTAATTGCAGTTCGAGCAATGCACCTCGGCCATGAATGTAGCATACTTTATAGTGGTTTAATGTTGGGACAATATATGTCCCCTTTCTACTAGGAACATAAGAAATTCACCATAGTCTCCAGCAGACTTGTGTGATTTTTTTGATATTCTAACTTTGTCTAGCTGATAGGCGTTATTTAAAAATTTAGCTGCAAATCCTATATTTGTTTTTAACTTTTCTAGATTAGAAAGAGTTAGCACTCCCTTGATGCCACGTTAATGAATTTCTGACCTTTAACAAGCTTTTAATTTTTTCTAGATTTTCTAGACAAGAGTGGGTTGCTCTAGTGGTAAGCACCCTCCACTTCCAACCAAAAGGTTGTGAGTTCGAGTCACCCCAAGAGCAAGGTGGGGAGTTCTTGGAAGGAGGGAGCCGAGGGTCTATCGGAAACAGCCTCTCTACCCCAGGGTAGGGGTAAGGTCTGTGTACACACTACCCTCCCCAGACCCCACTAGTGGGATTATACTGGGTTGTTGTTGTTGTTGTTGTAGATTTTCTGACTTGTAGAATTTAATATCTTTTTTTGAATTGTTCTCTTCTCTTGCTTTTACGCGGATGGATAGGAAATACTTATACCTCTATTTTTCGTAGGTGTTGGCGATGATGACCTCCGTGAAACAGCATATGAGATCCTCCTGGCTGCTGCAGGAGCTTCAGGGTATTTCTGCCGTTGCTTGCAACTTCTCCCATCTGATTAATTAAAGGTATTTAATATGCGTTATGTATGCACAGGGGCCTTATTGTACCATCAAAGGACAAAAAGAAGGAGAAGAAATCTATATTGATGAGGAAGCTGGGCCGGAGTAAGAGTGAAAATGTAATGACCCAGTCCCAGCATTTATCTGGACTGGTCAGTTTGTTGGAGACGATGCGTGTCCAGATGGAGGTAGGAAAATAAATGACCTTGTTACTTTTTTATCTGTACTTGTAGTCACATTCTTAATCAAAATGCTCATTCTATCTAAAAGATCAGTGTACTTTGTAGGCTTAATCACGGTCACTGATTAACTTAAGCTTAGAGAAGGGAAAAGTATGCAGAAAATGGAATTTCTCAAAGTCAGCTTTACACATGTTATTTACCAAAATTTAACATGTATGGGAGATATATCAGAGTGGTCTCTTTCTAGGGGAGGTAGAAGGTAGTGAATATCATTCCGGAAACAGGGGGAGGTCTTTTTGGGAAGATGATGTGAAATAGATCACTAATTGCGTAGAGAAAGGAGACAGTTGGAATCAATCTAGTGACATAATGCAAAGAAAGGGGAACTCTGATGTATAGAGTCCCAAAATTTTCACTCTGTCAGAAGTAACAGAATGATGAGCAGTCCCAGAGTGGAAAAAGGACTTGGGATGTGCAAAGTACTTTACTTTAGTCACTAACATTCTGACATTAATATATAGGTAATGGCTTGTCCAACACTTGGGATATTCATCATTGAAGTGATCCTAAAGCTAATGGCAGTACAAATTAGTTGTACTTTCATAATGGCTAGTCCGAGACTTGGGTGCATAATTTTGTGCCTTCATTCTGTGATCCAATTTTAGGCCAGTTTCTCTGGTATAATTCAACAGTCTCAGTTGCCCAAGCGACTGCATCTAGCATTTTTTATCATCAATGAGTGAAAAATTTGGGACTCTTTACATGGTGACCACATTATTTAGGACTCTACAATCCATTAATAGGGCACTGTCCGCAAAGTAAAGACGATGGCTACAAGTTCCATTGATCTTTTTTTTCCGTTGGGGGGCAGAGGGAGCGCTTTCTAATTGAGTGAGAAAACTGTTAAACCATGATTATAGATTTATTTAATTATGTCTTAATCTTGTGAAGGCAGGTCTACCACTCTTAGCTTGACTTAGAGTGAAACTCGTAGATCTAAAAGAGAACGGTAGAATGGAGTTACTAAAGTTTGATATAATGTCTTTGAACTGAGGAGTAACCAACGTTTAAAAAAATTATTATGCAGCGCTCTATTATTTAGAAATTTCAGTCTCATACTTAATGGGTTCTTACCTGATTATTATGTACAGATTTCTGAGGCCATGGATGTCAGGACAAGACTTGGGCTCCTTAATGCGATGATCGGAAAAGTGGGTAAAAGGATGGATACAATCTTGATCCCATTGGAATTGTTATGTTGTATTTCACGAACCGAGTTTTCCGACAAGAAGTCGTATATCAAGTGGCAAAAAAGACAAGTAAGCGCAGTCTTTCTCATTCACTATAAAGATGCAATTTTTTTCTCCCCTCCTTTTCTTCCTAATTACTGTAATGGGCTTTGCAAAGTTGTTAATTTATGGGACTAAATTTGTATGAAATGTATTTAACATTTCTGTTACATATTTCCTTTTCTGTCAGTTCAGTTAAACATGTTGGAGGAGGGGCTCATAAATTATCCTGCTGTAGGATTTGGGGAATCTGGGCGAAAAGCAAATGAGCTAAGGGTTCTTTTGGCTAAGATTGAGGAATCTGAGGTGTGTACTTTTCTTTCTGTCCTACTTTTGGTGAAGACATATTTCTGGTTTAATTATATATACTGAACTTAAGTATCTACAATACTAGTTTGGCCACGAGCACTTGCAATAACTGAACTTTAATATTTGAACTTCAAATAAAATATTAAAATAGTGGTCTGAATGCATATTTCAAGGAAATACTGGTTTCTACTCATAAATCTTCAACTTCCACAGTTTTTATTTTTTCAACTTGAACATCAAATACTCTTTTATTCAGCTTCAACTCAAATATTATCCAAATGCCTACTTACTTTCTAGTCTCAGTGGCGGACTTAGGATTTGAAGGTGGAGCATGCACATCTTTAACGTACACCATGCCACCGAGTTTGAGTAACATTATGCATTCAGTTGGTTTAGTTAGTTTCCAATCGACTTTTAGTTCGCAAACAAAGAAACCAATCAAACCGAAATGACTTTGGCTCGGTGCAGTTTTAAAACTTCAGTATTTGATTAATTTTATTGATCTCTTATATTTACCTAATAAAATAAAAAGAATGAGCCAGGAAACACGTGTTCCTCTATCATCTATACAAACAACAAACTAACAACATTATTTTTGAAACTATCGTTCTTGTCAATAGGGGAATATCATGATTAACCAAGTTGCCTAAAGGTCGACGCAATGAATGTAAGTTTGTGGCAACCCTAGTTGGATTTCATTTTGCTAATTTATTACTGAAAAAATATTAAGTATCTTAAATAGTAAATAGATGGATTGGAACTGTGGATTCATGCCACTTCTTTCAACAACAACAACAACAACAACAACAACAACCCAGTGAAATCCCACAAGTGGGGTCATGGCACTTCTTTCAAACAAATTACTTGAGAGTTTGGTTTTGAATCTTGATCATCATATGCCAAATTATAGAATTGCTTAGAATAAAAATTAGAAATGGTAAGAGGGTTTTCATCTTTTAGATTGGAGGTTCGCTAATCCATTTAGTTTCTCGGTTATAAAGACGTGTCTATAATTGTAAACTGACACGTTTTATCTTCTGGTACTTATATTTATTCTTGTTTCTTGTTTGGTACTCTCCTCAAAAGGACGTTCTTTTTAAAAATCTTATTGACCCATGGAAGTAGTTCAAGTGACATGCTGTCTTTGATGTTTGTTCTTGTTTGCTTGTTTGATTCTCTTTGTCATTGTTTGTGCACTTTTTTTTTTCTCAAACTAAGGTTTTGATTTCATATACTATGAACACCTGTGTCCGGAGAAACAATGTTACAAGAAAAAAGTGCTTTGTTATGCTATACCATATGATGTGCTATAAAGTTTATTATTTTCTTGTTTCAGTCTTTTCCTCCTCCTGCGGCTGAGCTGCAAAGGACAGAATGTTTAAAATCGTTGAGAGAGATTGCTAATCCACTGGCAGAAAGGCCAGCTCGAGGTGACTTAACTGGTGAAGTATGCCACTGGGCGGATGGTTATCACCTGAATGTCAAATTATACGAGAAACTACTTCTCAGTGTTTTTGATGTTTTAGATGAGGGAAAGCTTACAGAGGTCAGTTAAAACCCACTTGAAGGTCATTCTCTCTTAACAATTTGGGATTCCATTATAGAATTTCTTGCCATTCTTGCTATGCCTTATGGTGCCAGGATAAGATGGCCATCATGCTTCTTGTATATTAGAACTAGTTAGGATAACCAGTACTGTGCACGGCCCCAATAACAATTGGGTTGACGGAGATAAACAATAGTCTCAAGAAAAATCATACAATACAAAACTAATTTAAAATGACTCGAAGAATTAGAGAAAGAAAAATCGTAAATGCTACCCTCTACCTATTTATGTATGTGTGTTGTTGTTAGCTCAAAATACATACAAAATTTAGCTAGTCAGTTTATAATTTGTATCCATATGTATGGCAGTTTAACAAAGGTCTCTTGAAAAATGACTTGATTTAGCCGCAAATGTTCTTGGAAGAAAATAAATTCACCTCTCCAGTTTGCCTAATTTGCACCAGCAACAGGTCGTGCTTGGTGCTTCAATGAATAAATAAATGGAAAGACAATACACATAGCAGAAAATCATAGTATCTTCTGTGCTTTCTTTATTGATTGCCACTTAAAAGTGGGCATCAAGCAATTACTTGTGAATACAAATACAATGTAGAAATAAATCACTGCACATCCTCGTGCAATTTGTAAGTCATAGATATGTCATGCTATCTCAGTGTAACAAATAACACAAAAATACTCCACGTTTACCCTTGTTCTTATCTATATATTAGGCATCTCAATAAATATCAAGGGATTTAATTCCCTTAAGGTCTATTTCAAGGTCATTTAGGTTTCAAATAGAGCTCCAAGTTTTTCCTCTTTACTGCCTCCAGCCTCGTGGTTACACGCTATCTTTTCCCAGCTACTTCTTTCCCCTCTCACTACTCCTACTTTTGTTAACTCTGTTTCCTTCTTCCTCTTGTATAGCACATCAGACCTTGAATAATATTTTGATTAATGTACGTCCAAGTAGGTACCTTCGTGGACTCGGCGACACTGAATTGCTTGTATAAAATCTACTTCATTATCTAGCTAGCGAAAAAAAATCATTAGGCATTTCTTCTGTAAATTTTTTATTTAAAAGTTAAAACTCATTAGAAGTAGAAAACTCGATCAAAAGCATATGTGAATTTGCTAAAAGTAAGACTATATGTAAATATAGTGACTTCAACTTTTCGTGAAAATAAAATTGTTGATGAAAAACAAGTGGATTTCGTTACACATCTTTAACAATATTTCAAATTTTCTGTACTGCTTTCTTTTTTATCCTTTCCTTGTACTAACAGAGAAATTGCAAAAAAGCGAAAAAGGTAGGAAACTCGATTTTGGATTTGTTGGCTGTAGAAGAAAGATGATATGTTAATCAGCAGGAGTAAGTTAAAATAACAGAAATGCGGAGCTAATTAATGGGATAGGGGACACGTCCACATGAAATACCTTAAATAAGAATGATAAGCCAAGTAAATTGGTCAAGACAACAAATTATTTGGCCAATGAATTTGCTCCGTTTAAACACATTTACGAAAACGCTGTTCGGGTCCATATTGCAAAAGGCTGCGGATTTGTGAGCTGAATATTTCTGGTTTTTTCGTCATTTGCAATCCACAAGAAAGCATTAGAGCCTAGAGAATAGCCAAATAATGCACATTTGTAATATAAAATAACCAATATGCCCTCAGAGCATAAGCAGGCATGTTGACATGTTGACGGAGACCTGCTTAACTCAATTGTTGATGAAAACCAAGTGGATTTCATTACACATCTTTAACAATATTTCAAATTTTCTGTACTACTTTCTTTTTTATCCTTTCCTTGTACTAACAGAGAAATTGCAAAAAAGCAAAAAGGTAGGAAACTCGATTTTGGATTTGTTGGCTGTAGAAGAAAGCCGATATGTTAATCAGCAGGAGTAAGTTAAAATAACAGAAATGCAGAGCTAATTAATGGGATAGGGGACACGTCCACGTGAAATACCGTAAATAAGAATGATAAGCCAAGGGGTAAATTGGTCAAGACACTAAATTATTTGGCCAATTAATTTGCTCCGTTTAAACACATTTACGAAAACACTCTTCGGGCCCATATTGCAAAAGGCTGCGGATTTGTGAGCTGAATATTTCTGTTTTTTTCGTCATTTGCAATCCACAAGAAAGCATTAAAGCCTAGAGAATAGCCAAATAATGCACATTTGTAATATAAAATAACCAACATACCCTCAGAGCATAAGCAGGCATGTTGACGGAGACCTGCTTAACTCTCTTATAGAATAAGAGAAAGTAATTCTCTTAGGTTATTACCTTTCTCAAGAAAAGGAAGAAGGTAATATTTTTAGGGGTCATTTGGTTTGCGGTCTAGTTATGCACGTTAATAATAGAGGGACATGGCGAGTGAAGGTGTTAAAAGGGATGATACCCCCAATCACACGAAAGGAAGTTGTCTCGAAAAATCTACAATCTCCTGGAATCCACGCAGACATAGCGAAAAATAGGGGACAACAGAAAGGATTTAATTAGGCAATACCTATTAGTTGGGACTATATTTTCGTCATGTTAGTATGGTTACTTTAGGTCTTATGTCTTCTAGGGGTCTTTTAATCTTATTTGAGATTTATATGCATTTTCTTGTATAGAACTTTTAGTACCTTTTATTATTATTATTATTGATTATTGATAACATGGGGCTAAGGTGCTTAAATGGAACAACATCATTGGTGAGGATCATGTAGCCGACCCGAACTTGCTTGGGATTGAGGCGAAAATTGTTGTTGTTTTATGTGAAACACATTCACTTGTTTTATCGATAATATACTAAATAGTAGTGCAAGAAATGATATAATGCAAGTACATTCCTTTGAAAATCCATTTGTAGGTGTGAATGACTAATTATGAACTTCATCTCTTCTCACCAGGAAGTTGAAGAAATTTTGGAGCTTCTTAAGTCTACGTGGCGTATTTTGGGAATCACCGAAACCATCCACTACACTTGCTATGCTTGGGTGTTATTTCGACAGGTATAAAATGACAAAATTGTTGGTTTTTATTCAGAGTTGCTTAAAACGTTACTAGCATTTGCTTGACTACTAACATGCTGATGGTATACCAATTGTTTGGAGTTTGGACTACTTTTTTCATTATTAATTATTAGAGCGGATATGGACCACAACCTCTTGGGATGCGGCGGATGGAACTAGAAAGTTTCATCTAGTGAATTGGCAGACAATCACTTCCCCAAAGAAGTGGGGTGGACTTGGAGTGAAAGATCTTAGGATATTTAACAAAGCTTTAATGGGAAAGTGGCTGTGGAGNTTATCAAAAGCACTTTATCGAGTATGCCCACCTATTACTTATCCCTGTTGCAAGCACCGGTGAGCATCACAGAAAAACTGGAGCGACTTCAAAGGAACTTTCTTTGGGATGCGGCGGATGGAACTAGAAAGTTTCATCTAGTGAATTGGCAGACAATCACTTCCCCAAAGAAGTGGGGTGGACTTGGAGTGAAAGATCTTAGGATATTTAACAAAGCTTTAATGGGAAAGTGGCTGTGGAGATTCGGGGTAGAAGAGCATGCGCTATGGAGGGAGGTCGTAGTAGAAAAGTACGATTCCACGGGAGGGGGTTGGAGGACCAAGGCAATCACAACACCTTTCGGGTGTGGCATGTGGAGGAGCATCATGAAGAATTGGGAAGCATTCAGTGGCAACATCACCTACAGGATGGGAGATGGAAGGAGAATCAGCTTTTGGAATCATAGGTGGTGTGGAGAGGATACTCTGAGGGTCTCCTTCCCCTACGTCTTCAGAGTTTCAAACCAGAAGGAACTGATGGTCCAACAGATTCGTAAGGAGCATGGAAGGGGATTGTATGGGACCTCTCATTCAGAAGGAACATGCAAGATTGGGAGATTGCGGAGCTCCAAGATTTGTTGGCACTGCTATACGGGCAAGACAGGCCCCAGCCATCCTGCGACTCTTGGAGATGGGGCTTGCGTGGCGATGGTTTGTTCACCGTAAAGTCCTTTTACTAGAGTATGTTGGTGAGAGAGGAGGCCACTTTTCCATACTCCTCGATCTGGATTCCTAGGGCGCTCACGAATGTGTGCTTTTTTGCATGGCTAGCGGCGAGGGGAGTGATCTTGACTGCTGAAAATCTCCGAAAGAGATGAATTACACTTGTTAGTTGGTGCTACATGTGTAAAAGCTCAGAGGAAGAAGTTGATCAGCTTTTGTTGCACTGCCCTGTGTCCTCTGCTTTGTGGAGGGCAATCCTGAATCTTTTTGGTGTTCAATGGGTGATGCCAAGCACTGTAAAGGAAATGTTATATAGCTGGGCCGGTTTCCGTAGAAGAAGAAAGCAAAAGGCGTGGAAGTTCGCCCCGTTAGCTCTCATGTGGGTCGTATGAGGGGAGAGAAATATAAGGGCTTTTGAGGAGATTTAGTCTCCTTTTTCACATCTTAAGAATAGTCTTTTATCTTTGATCGCTTTTTGGTGCACTCATTTAGCCCCTACTTGTATAGAAGATTGAGCGTCTTCTGTAGAGAATCATGTTCTGATATAAATTCTCTACGTTTTTTGGTATACCTCGTGTATACGGGAGTTCTCTCCCTTTTGATTAATACAATTTACCTTATAAAAAAAAAATGGACCACAACCTCTATGGAATATTGTGGCATAACCTACAATTTCCTATTTAGAAAAGAACCTGATATTTCTTGAATCTATTATGCTTGAAGAACCAGGAAAATCATGTACCTTCTAGTTGAATGAGTTGCTAAAAACATGGAAGGCTTCGATCTTTTTATGCTAGTTAGCATTGCTAATAGGGAAAAGGTCCAAAATTGCCCCTCAACTATACTATATTGTTTACTTCTACCACCCGTTATACTATTCGTCCAGTCTAGCCCCTACCGTTAATCAACTTTTAAAAATTGCCCCTAACCCTAACGGATCTACATCGTGGCAGCTGGCCCCCTCAATTTTTTCCATGTCAGCTGCCAAGTCACTCGACCCCACCAAATTAAAACCCCACAGACCCCCCAAACCCGTCGTATGCCAAGATGTAAAAATAAGAAATTCTGCCATGGAACTCTTAATAAACATCCTCAATCTTATGAAACCTCGAATTATCCGAGACCCCATTTGTGAAACCTCAAACCATATAACTTTGGTTGGCCCAATCAACAAGAAAATTACAGAAATCGAAGTTAGAACAACTGGGCAATCGACTTATAATAACACAATTGAGAACAACCCCAAAAATGCTTGCGCATTTGGCGTAGAAAATATTCGGCTTGACGATTAAACGAATCATTGTTTGAATTCCATCTATAGGATCAAAATGTTGTCTGGTGAGTTGTGCAATACACTAAGTTGAGAAGCTTGAGGGAGAACCTGAAATTCGAAAATTCCATAACAGCCATTAACGAAGCTTGAAACTCCGAATCCAATAATCGGGTTTCCGCAAATCGAAGCTATTTCGATTGGATATTGTTCCAAACAATCAGAAACGTTTTGTAGAGTTCATATCCATATTTTGGGGCTGATTCGTGAAGATTTAGACCACTTTTGAGCTGAAAATTCAGCAGTTTGACAAAATTACACCTACAACTCCAGTTCGTCAGTTCCGAACTTTATATTATGGTTGCTGAAATTGAATGGCTATATTACAAGTTGATTTTTGAGAATCGATTTGTGTTCTGACTGAAATGAGATTTGGATTCGTCCACTATAGTGAATTTTGGGAACCTACGATGTTGGGTGTTCGAAAGTTCACATCTGTTGGTTTAAAATTCAAAGTTGCACACCAAATTGTTGTTAAATTTCTTTGTAGTTCACTGTGTGGAGCTGGTGGTGCCGCCGGAACAATGCTCTATTCTTCAAAGCTTGATTCGGCCAATTGGGGCATTCAAAATTATTAGAAACTTTGATAGAGAGGGGGTTGTGATACTTGACACATTTTTTGGCGTTGGCCATTCTGGCCAAAAGTCGTCAGAGGCCGATTTCGTCGGAAAATCCATGGTGGTAAACTGGTAATACATATATTTCTCTGAGATGTATTTTCGTAGGCCCATGTTTCTTGACATAGGGATGGAGATATATGATTCTAATTTTGCAAAGTGTGTTCGGAACCACCTTGAACGGCGACCAACTTCAACTTGGAGGTTTTGGAGTGTGTAGGTCTGTGAGTTAAGACTTAAGAGAGGGAGAAGAAGATGAGAATATTTTAATAAGAAAAGGGGTGGGTTAATTAGTGGGACCTGCTGACTTGGTTGCTGACATGGACAAAATATTAGAGGGGTTGGGTGCCACAGTGGAGGGACGTTAGGGTTGAGGGCAATTATGCAAACTTTGTTAACGGTAGGGATAGATTTGGACGAAAAGTATAACGGGGGACAAATTTAAATTATATACCATAGTAGTACCATAGTAGAGGGGCAATTTTGGACCTTTTCCCTTGCTGATATCCTCTTGGAGTACTTCTTGTCTTTTGTTAACATTCAATGTCAATTTACTTTTTTGCATAAAATGAATCTGGGGGTGACCAAGAGTTGCCATCATTTCACTTTCTCGTTTGTTGGGATGACCTTCTTGAGTATTGATTGGTCAGATCAGATGGTTCATCCTCTTGTAAAACTAATGATGCATCAAGTGTGATGTTGTACTTGCTGCTCCCTACTTAGTGGCCATTTTGTACGCCGTTTATGGAACCTATAGGAACCCGATTTTAATTATTTTGATTGCATTTTCGGATTTTCCTAGTAAAATATAACAGTACTTTGTATGAAAAATACCACACGCTATGTTTTCTGACCTTAGGTATTATGGGTTTATTAATACAAGTATTAACAATTCCTTGGTGAAGCTACCAAAGAAGACCAAACTACCCACCATTTTGAAATACCCTTGGTTAAATTAATTGATGATTTTGTAGCCTGACTACTGTCTATGATTAGTCACTTATGTTTCTAACTTATTATAGCCAAATTTAGGTGATTACTTGAAATGCATGTTTTATTAAAGTGAAAATAATCTTCTTGGTCCAATGTTATTCTTCAATTCCTATTCATCTCTTCGTGTTATTCAACGAAATTTGTTTTTCATTGAATCAAATGTGCTATTATGGTCCAATTAAAACTCACTGAACTTCACCTACCGGCAACTATGGTTTTTTATGAAATACAAAATCCTCATCCTCTCCTCTTTCCACATTATTTAACTTCTGCAGTTTTAAGTAAAATTCAGTCCCAATCAGCGATAGGTTGTTGGGAATTGTTAGGCAATTGCTTCCATCTTGTTTAGTCAAACTGTTTGTAAAATCGAAGTCCGGACACGTTGCAACAATTTCTTTCTTGCTTGGTTACCCTTATTTCAAATGTGGTTGCTTGGTTGAATCCAATGGTTCCATCAATTCCTCTTTGCTTATTGTCTGGTGCTTGATGGTCCTATTTCGATCTGTGCCCCTTGTGTTGTGCAGTTTGTCATCACAGGGGAGCAAAGGATCTTGCAATATGTCATTGAACAGTTGAAGAAAATACCATTAAAGGAACAAAGGGGACCACAAGAGAGAATGCACTTGAAGAGTTTGCATTCTAGAGTTGAAATTGAAAAGGGATTTCAAGAGTTGACTTTCTTGCAGTCTTTCTTGTTGCCTATATCAAAATGGGCTGATAAGCAGTTGGGCGACTACCATCTCAATTATGCTGAGGTTAGTGAACAAATCTGTTTTACTTTGATCAGGCGATTGCAAATTTTTTGCCCATGCTAAGTCTTTTTTTTAAACTTATGCATTTATATGAATGTCTTTTCCTATTTTGAATTTTTGTGTTGTGGTAATACATATACTGATCAGCTTAGAGCTTGTGGCATATGATATAAATCTCGTTTTTTATTTTAAAGATAAGAAACTAACTTCCAAATTACACTTTTCCAATGAATAATGGTTGCCAATATGTCAAATTTTCTGCCTTTTCTGTTGAAATTAACTCCATTTAGGATATTATTTACTTCTATTTAAGTTACATTACAGAAAAGCTGTGTCTAAAAATTTTGTCAAATTTTTTAAGTAGTCAAAACCTTAAAGGACTCCCTAGTTAAACTGTCTGGACTATAATCAACAAATCATTGAGATGTGAGACATCTCATTAGAGAGATAGAGTTTCATGTAGTGAGGTACGTGAACTTTTGATGGATTCCGCATTGTTCTGGGCGGAAACAATATGGACATTTTGTTTTTCGCTTGTCAATGCCGCTTTTGATTCTCCCCTCCTTCAGATGATCAGCAATTGAGATTTTTGTGAAATGAAACAAAATGTCTATAATTGTTTGTTGCTTTCCCAGGCCCAATCCTCTGGGTTATTCCAGGCCCTTGCCGGGGGGTGGGGTGGGACAATGAAAGACAAGAGAGCATACGCAGGAAAAAATTAAAGAATTCAAACCTAGAATCAATTTCCGTTCTGTCTCAGCACACAATCATGAGAAAAAGAATAGCAGCTAGTCTGAATAAACATGGCCAGTTGTAATTTAGATGTAAAGGAAATTGAGAAAAATCTGTGGTTTTGACACAGTCAATATAGTTACTTACGTGCTAATCAGGGCTTGGAACCCTGCCGCAAATGAAAGTCTGGTATTTAAGTGTGGAAGGGTAGAGGGGAAGAGTCAATTATTAACTGAATTTTGAACTGTGTACCACTGCCACTCGGGGATCTCTCGGTTATCACCCCCCCCCCCCCCNAGTTAATTACGTGCTAGTTAGTGATGGTGGATTAGTCAATATCTTGTATGTCTGTGTAATGTTTCCTTATATAGACCTCTGTTTCATGTCGTATGTGGTGCAACAATTGTTTTCATCGTCATACACCATTGGCAGTTCAGAGCTGCAGAGGTTTTAATATGCTATTCTCTGTTTATATAACATAACTTTCAAAGATATATTTTCTGGTTTAGTAATGGTTATTTTGATGAAAGTAAAAGGGGGTAAAACCCCGTGTACAAGGTGTAAACATTGGGTACCTCAATGAAAGATATGATTTTCTAGGAAAAGCAACCAAGCATTTGTGGTAATTGGAATCTCATATGTGCTCCAAAAATTTTCCAAAAAAGGAGAAAAGGTTCCAGGAATTTGTGAAAATGCATCTTAGTCCCTTCAAAGGCTGTTTGTTTCTTTTAGAGCGAAAAGATACCTTGTAGTTCAAAAAAGACTCAGTTTGCTGACGTGTTTCACTTGATAGTTACCTTTCCTATAGGTTTGAGAGAGTTCATCAAGCGGAAATAACTCATATTGACATGAAAAGAAAAACAAGAATGTGCTTACATCTTAGTTTTGTTTAGGGGTCAGCAATGATGGAAAACACTGTGGCAGTTGCTATGCTTGTTCGAAGGCTTCTTTTAGAAGAACCTGAAACGGTATGTCTGAGTTACCTACTGATTACCTGTTTCTGGTGAAATATTTTATGTTTGTTCTGGCTGAAATAGAATCATATGTTTTATGTGCTGTCTGTTCGTTCACTATAAACTATAAGAGTTGCATACATTGACGCTTAGAAATAATAATGTCGTATCAAAATTTGATGTTTGTGCAGGCAATGGAATATGCAACAATATCAGATACAGAGCAGATAGAGTTCTATGTGACATCTTCAATCAAAAATGCGTTTACAAGGGTAAATTGTTACTTGTTGGAAAAAGAAACTATACTTGGTTTCTGAATATAATTACTGCTATTGAAACCTTTTGCTCTGTTGGCTTGAAGTGCAAGTCCAAAGACTGGTTAAATTACCCTAACTGTAAAGTGCAAGTTCTATGATTGGTTAAATTATTTTCTTCAGATGGTAGAGGACCCTAACTGTAGAGTGCATGTTCTATGATTGGTTAGATTAGTTTCTTAAGATTGTAGAGGACCTTAACTATGAACTTCCGTTTGCATTGTTAGGTCATTAAAATCTTTTCTTTATTCTTTTATCTTCATTTTCTATTTCGTAGCTAAATATGAATGTCATTGCAAAATCTTCATTCTATACAGCCTAATGAGCTTCTCTGTTCGAATAACATTATATGTACCAATAATGAATTATGTTAAGGGATGGGCATGACTGGTTCAAGAGGAGGATTTGATGTACTGTGTCTAGCCTTCAGATCATATAACACAATCTCTGTACTGTATGACTAACTTATTCCATTCTAATGCCAAATGTCCAAAGAATTTGAAGCTCAAAGTCTCTCAGACCAGCATGGCGTATTAGAGGTAGAAGGCATGTCCCCTTTAATAAAAGTTTCAGTAAATAGGAGAGTTTTTGAGGGGATTGAGTCTTCGTTTTCACATCTTAAGAATAGTCTTTTATCTCTGATCGCTTTTTGGTGCACACATGTAGCCCCTACTTGTGTAGAAGATTGGGCGTCATTTGTAGGGAGTCATGTTCTGATGTAAATTCTCTACTTTTTGTATACTTCTTGTATGCGGGAGTTTTTTCTCCCTTTTGATTAATACAATTTACCTTATCAAAAAAAATAAAAGTTTCAGTAAAAGTAATTAGTAGTCACTTTCATATGTTCTGTGACCAGTTAAACAGTCCATACAAATTTCTCATATTTTAACGTAGACTGTAGTTTTACAATAATGGTATACTAAAATAGTCAAGAACATACAAACTCATATTTTAACGTAGACTGTAGTTTTACGATAATGGTATACTAAAATAGTCGAGAACATAAAGGGATCAGAAAGGTCCAAGTGCACTTGTCCAGGTCTTCTCTCTTTCTATTTCACAGCTAACATGTCATGAATCTCGTGCGATTATGGTGCATTTCTGTTGAATACGCTTCTTACATGAAAGGACATGGTGTTTCATATTTCCCGACAAATGACTGTTTGCAAGTTCATCCAGAAGTTACATTTGATTGATTTGCTTCCTATGGTTCTAACAACACAAGTAGACCAACTGTCCCCCTGCTTGGTGGACTTCCCCTCTTACTAGAGTGCGGAGTTCATTGTTGGGGGCATCTAAGAATGCTCTATACATCATAGCTAGTTCTTGGGTGTTGTTATTCAGTTCCGTGTTTCCTCTAGATTGGCCATGAATGAAATTTCCCTGTTCGTCATGAATAATCGCTTTATGCAGATGATACAAGATGTTGAGGCAATAGCTCATGCAACAAATGAACATCCTCTAGCATTGCTTGCAGAACACACAAAGAAACTCTTGCAAAGAGATAATGCTATTTACATGCCTATATTATCTCAAAGGCATCGTAAAGCTGCTGCTGTTTCTGCATCCATACTTCACAAGCTTTATGGTATCAAATTGGTATGTTAATGATTAATTTATCTCCCGGAGTTCTAGTTTAGCTTGAATTATTCATGGTAATATGTTTATTATGGGGGTTTGAGTGAATGTCAATCATTCAGAGACCATTCCTTGAAAATGCGGAACATCTGACTGAGGATACTATAGCTGTCTTTCCTGCTGCTGACAGTCTTGAGCAGTATATAATGCAAGTTATCGTATCTACTTGTGCTGATGGAACTTCAGATGCTTACTGCAGAAAGTTAAATTTGTTCAAGGTTAGGAAACTCTTCCTGGCTTCTTTATATATTTTATATTAGATTAACTTAGGGTGACATTGTTTTGCCAAATTTATATGGGGAAGTTCCAATTGAAAGACTTATGGCCAGTAAATTAAGCTTATTGGATTTATTGTCTTCTGACCTCGGCATTCTAAATGCTCAGAGCCTTTGTTTTGGTTGGGGTATGACAGTTTTGCTGATAAAGTTGCTATGCATCATGCTTAATATTTTCATAATGAATTTGGTGACTTTCTTAGCTTATTTCTTGATTTTTTCTAGATTGAAACTGTATCTGGGACATTGGTACTACGATGGGTGAATTCACAACTTGCAAGGATTTTGAATTGGGTTGACCGGGCTATTCAGCAGGAGGTAATAACTAAGGGAGTTGCTGATTCTATTGATTGTGTTTCATTGAACAATTATATCATTTAATTTTTTGCCTTGGTCATTATAATCCTTCTACTCTCTGTGCATATATCATTTCCCATTTTAGATTTTTCTACCATTTGAGATGAGGATGTTAAGGTGGATGTGTGAGCATACCAGGTTGGATAAGATTAAGAATGAAGTTATTCGGGATAAGGTGGGAGTGGCCCCTGTGGAGGATAAGATGCGGGAGGCGAGGTTGAGATGGTTCGGGCATGTTAAGAGGAGAAGTATAGAAGCCCCAGTTAGAAGGTGTGATAGGTTAGCTTCGGTGGGTAGCAGGAGGGGTAGAGGTAGGTCTAAGAAGTATTGAGAAGAGGTTATTGGGCGGGACATGGTGCAGCTGGAGCTGACCTAGGACATGGCCCTAGATTGGAGGGTGTGGAGGTCAAAGATTAGGGTAGAAGGCTAGTAGGTAGTCGACTGTTTCTCCTCTTTGTCTTACTCAGTTCGCTAGTATCAGTGTTAGTATGACATCCTGTTATTCATAGATTGCTATTACTACTTAGAGTTTAACTGCTTTCTTGGATTCGATCTTATTTTATCTTGTTGTTATTCCTACTTGTTGCAATTACCTTTTCTTTTTTCATCCGTTCTCCAGCTGAGGGTCTATTGGAAACAACCTCTCTGCCCTCCACTCCAGGGTAGGGGTAAGACTGCGTACATCTTACCCTCCCCGGACCCCACTTGTAGGAAATTACTGAGCTTGTTGTTGTTGTTATGTCTTATATCCTTTTTTTCCGAAGTATAAGTTAAATGGGGCATCTCCCCTTTTCAATTCACTGATATGATAATAAGAATAAATTGAGCTCTTCCTTCTAAACAAAGACTCGGCTTTTAGCATATGAATTTAATTACCTTTTTGTGGGTTTTCAGCGGTGGACACCGGTTTCCCCTCAACAAAGGCATGGAAGTTCAATTGTTGAAGTCTACAGGATTGTGGAAGAGGTTCAAAAATTATACTCTGTTCTTTGCATCTATGTGTTTCGCAATTTTCTGTTTTTCCCAGGATCAATTTTCTATCAGAATTCTGATTTCCACGCCTTAAGTTTATCGTGTTTCTTTTTGGCATCAATTGATAAACAGACATGGTGAATTTGTCTGAAAACTTGTTTTCAGCAACATATGGGTGGATACTTTAATGTTACATGTCCATGTTTAATCCATAAGTGAGAATCTAGGATGATGTAGTAGTATTCAGTCTTTATTTACCCTTGACTGCATATGCTAGTAGATGTATCACGGATCTTCCATAGATGTAGAAAAACAAATGATTAGCTTATTTAATATAGCTTTTAAACAGCAGAGAATCCAGAAGCATATCGATATGACCGATACAGATTGGAATCACAGTAATATGGAAGAAGAGTTTCAATAATTGCGTCAGCAACAACGAAATTTATTTCTTTATTGATTTGTTTTATGTACAGCTGAAGATTATCTTAATATATGTCAGGCAAACAACTTGTAAATGGAAACCGGACTTTGAAATAGTATCCCATGAAAGCATAATGCTCCATGAAAGAAGCCATATCTAGCCTCTAGACTTTTGTGCTTCAGAGCGAAGTTTGACACCAACTGCTCTCAGCTGCAAGATGAAGTTNAACTGGGTAGCCTCTTTCGCGGCATTGATAATGCATTTCAAGTATATGCAAAGACCATTTTAGACAAGATTGGTATATTGTTGCTTTCTGCACAATCTTAAAGAATTCTTCTTTACTGAAACTTATATACCTGCTGTTTTAGTTTAATTATCCTCCCAGTTCATTTTGTATCCTGCACTATGGTTTGATGAATGATATATCATAGTAATGGATGGACGGACTATTAGATCTTCCGTTACCGCGTTATTCAAATCCATTTCACAGTAGGGAGGGAGGGGTACCTCTTTACAGTTTCGAAGCTATCCTTCCCACTGGAGCTGTAAATATTCTGTCCTAGTAACTAATAATTGGAAAACCTTCATTTTATTTTTTCCCTCTTTTCTGGCTCACATTATGGATGAATTGCCAATTTACCCGTTTGACAACCCTTCATCACCAGCCCAGTTTTTCATCGACAAGATTTAACATGTTCAATCTTCAAATAGCTTTGAAGCTTATGTTTAGTGGCTCTCTTTTTATTGGCATTCAAAAGTTGTACCATGCTTTATTTCTTCTTGCATTTTCATATCTTGCATATGTTTCTGCAGAACTGTTTCCCACTAATTCAAACATATATATTTCATCGTGAACTTGCTACCATATGTGTGCAGCTAATAAGGAAGATGTTGTTCCACCTGTGCCTATTCTGACAAGATACTCAAGGGAACATGGAATTAAGGCATTTGTAAAGAAGGAGTTGAAGGATACAAGGATACCGGATGTCCTGAAGTCTGTTGAAATTGACATAGTGGCCACATCAACGCTTTGTGTTCAGTTGAATAGCCTTCATGTGAGTTAAACTTCTACCTTCCCGCTTTTTGTACGATTAAGATCTCAAGCTGTTAATCATTTGCTCTCTGTTTCACTTTCCCCTTTTTGATTGGATCTGAAGGGTGTATCTACACTGGTTGAATTGGAAAAGCATGGCTCTGGCCAGTTTCATTAGCTTGAAGCTGGACTTTAAATTAACTTGTAACCTGTGTGATATTGTGTTTCTGTCTTAAGCAATTCTAAGGCTTACCTCATCGTTTATCCTTACAGTATGCTATTAGCCAACTGAATAAATTGGAAGACAGCATTTGGGAGCGGTGGACGAGGAAAAAGCATCACGATAAATCGATAAGTAAGGAACAACTCCTTTTGACTTTGGAATATATTGATATTATCTTATTATCTCCTCTTAGTATGTAATTCTAGATTTGCAGCTAAAAATATTTTCTAACAATTTTGAGTAATGTTAAGAAGTATTTGTCGTCTTGAAAAGGTGCTCTCCATCTTTAATCGTTCTATATAAAGTGGACAATTGGAATTATCTCCTTACAGACTGCAAAGATGGTAGACAGAAAAAAGAACAGTAAAGGAAGACATGGCGGCAGGTGGAGAAGAGGAGACTACTTTTCTATTTTAGATTTCTGTTTTACAGAAATAGTTGGATGGATGTGTTGTAAGCCAGGAAAACCATCAGGAATATTGCGTAAATAAAAGTTAAGAATATTAAGAATTAGAAAACTGTCCTTAATTCATATAGTTCAAGATTCTTATATAAGGAGCTCTCTTGTATGTAGTTAACCATCTGATCTCTATAAGTTTTTTCTCTCTTCTTTTCCTCTTTCACATGGTATCAGAGTGTACAATTTGGTAAACACTTGAGTAGTTTTCCCTACTCATGAATATCTACCCAACTAAAATATTTCCATCTTTCCATAAATTCACTATCTTATTTCATTCCTTTGACCGTTTAGCGGCACCACTCTTACCTCCGGCGACTTTTACGGCCGTAATGCACCTCTTATAGATTGTCATTCCACGTCTGGCCATTCGTCCTGCAACCTTTCAAGAAAGAATTCCCAAAACTTGTTTCTTCTCTTCTATCTCTTCGTGGTATTAGAATTTGGATCTTGATTCCTTCCTCTAAAGTCTAAACAGTGAATTTTCTGTTACTGGTAAGCAAAAATCCTCTTTTTTTATGGTATCAAAGAGTGTATTTAGATCTCTCTTCTAAACATTTAATTTGAAGTCACAAGTTATTTTCTCTTCTTTTTCTTTGTGTTATTAGAGTTTGAGTATTTAGTCTATTCTCTAAATTGATTTTTTCTTAGATAGAAAAATATTGAAATTTGTGATCATTGTTATAACAACTTTTTGGTACTCGTCAGCTGCCAATTCAAGCCATTGCAAGAAGCAATTTTTTCTGCTGTGCAATTGCCAGTGAGTTTTCGGGGAAAAAAAATCTAACACTAATTTCTTTCTGGTGATGATTCAAGGAATTGTTTACGATTCCAGTGACTCTTGTTTACTAATAAGCAATCTTAAGTTGTTTCATCACCTTGAGTTTGAAGAGGCGCGTTGAAACTCAAGTGAATCACTAAGAATTATGTTAGTACTTAGTCAAGAGAATTAAAAAGAATATTGCGTAGAATATTCTTGGAAATTATGTCATAATTAGGAATGCCGAGAATTACAAAACTTTTCTTATTTCATGTACTGAGCACTTAAGCTTTGACTATGTATGGTAAAGCCTATGCCTTGGTGTGCTTGGAATGTTTTGCAAAAGAAATTGGGGAAAACAAAAATATGAATAAAGAACTGCAAACCTGTTTTTCTTACTTGTAATTAAAAAGGGGACGAGGGAGATAGTTGACTTGAAATCTATTTACCATTAAGCATAGCTGCTGTATAATCAATATCAGCTGGGACTTTTAGCCTATAGAATCTAGATATAATTCTTTATCATGATGAATGCCACTTGAGTAGTGGTACTCTTTCCTCTTCTGGAAAAGGATTAACTTAATTTCAATATTTTTCCTAACAAAGAGAGCCCAGCTGAAGAGACTGCAAGAAATTTACAGAAGGACTCATTTGATGGAAGCAGAAAGGATATTAATGCCGCAATTGACAGAATGTGTGAATTTACTGGTGAGACTTTTGTTTTTATCTTCTGTTTTTTTCTTTTTTGGGTTCTCTGCAAATAATATAACTTTCAAGGATGTGTGGATTTACTAGCGAGAGACTTCTTCTTTGTCTTCTACTTTTTTGGGGTTCATTGCAAATAATTCCTAACTCATTTTTGTCAATTTTTGCAGGAACAAAAATCATTTTCTGGGACTTAAGAGAACCATTCATTGAGAATCTCTATAAACCCAGTGTTTCTCAGTCTAGGTTGGAATCAGTAATGGATCCACTTGATATGGTATTGCGTCTTATATTTGAGACTATTCTATACATAAGTAACATCGTATAAATGTGGAAAACGGGAAATGAATTAACTTTTGATGAAGTCCAGAAAGGGGAAAAATAAATAACTTGTAGATATTTAAGATGCAATTGAGTCTGAAGAATAACAGCAAAGAGTAACTATCCCATGAAATTCCAACACTGATGAACATCCTCTGTTGCTCCTTGATCTGCTGCTCTTTGCACCTTATCTCCCTCTTGTGATGGAAAGAAAGTACAGCTTAGTAATTTTTGGTCTTAAATGTTTGTTCAAACTTCTCTTGTGATGAAATGTTGGGATGTGGAAGGTTGAACTATAATTGCTGCAATAGAAATCTGATTCATAAATCCCATCCGAACTTCGTTTATGAAGCACCGGTTTTGAACCGTTAGAAACTGGAGTTGAGAATTTTTTTCCTACAACGGCATAAATGACCTATAGTAACACCTAGGCTTGTAACTAATATTGAAATGTGAGAGACAGTATCTGCATTCAACCTTCTGAGCAAAATGATTTGGTCATCTGGATCCCTGATTTAGATAATTGTAAAAGTGATACAAACATAATATGGTTTTTGCTTGCATCAATCCATTTTGCTGAGCTGGAATGTGCCTCCCACTTTTCATATATACTCAGAAAAAAGAGAAGCACAGATGGTATAGCTGTCTTCCAATATTTGCAGGTTCTTAATCAACTTTGTGATGTGATAATGGAGCCACTCCGTGATCGTGTTGTGACAGGACTGCTTCAAGCATCACTGGTCTGTGTACTTACTGCTGCTTGGTTTTCTGTTTTTAACTGCAGTAATTTTTGAATTCTTTGGAAATCGTATTTCACCAGGATGGCCTACTCAGAGTCATATTAGATGGAGGACCATCACGTGTATTCTCCCTGGGTGATGCTAAGCTATTGGAGGAGGATCTAGAGATCTTGAAGGTATTCAAACTGGTTTTTGTTGGATATGCCCGAGAAATTTTTTATCTACCTGAAGATATCCAAGCTAATTTTTTTCTACCTGATATCTTGAATTAGTGGACCTACAATATGATTATTTCTCACCTATGCTTGTTGTTTGTTTAAGGAATTCTTCATTTCGGGTGGGGACGGGCTACCTCGTGGAGTAGTTGAAAATCAAGTTGCACGTGTTCGGCAGGTGGTAAAGCTGCATGGTTATGAGGTTAGTTCAGCAACCACCATGAAGTACTAAGATAAGCAGAATTGACTGCATAAAAACTTTGGTACCTGTGGTTACTGATGCTTGTACCTCGCTTTTCCATGCCTCTATTATGAAATTATTGTCTGAGCAATATGCACTTTTTTCATACTTGTTTTATTGCCCCCAATAACAATGTGTAAATGTAGCACTATCTTAACGGATACAAAGATTTATTCATGTAAAATTGGTCAAAGATGCTGTAACACTAATATCAATTGTAGAAAAAGCGATGGTATGTATACGTTTAAAAATCTGCTTGCTCCTCAAAGACTGTTTATTAAGGCCATATTTTGCACTAATTCTAGTACGTCTAAGATGATCTTATTTGGTCTTTATATATCACATTTTATTGTGATCCTTCTCTACGACAATATGTTAAATGGTTGATGTACAACGCCTGTTTTTTATGGTAAACAGACCAGGGAAATAATAGAAGACTTGAGATCCGCAAGTGAGTTAGAAATGCAGGGCGGAAGAGGCAAGTTAGGTGCTGATACCAAGACCCTACTTAGGATTCTGTGTCATCGAGGAGAGTCAGAGGCCTCTCAGTTTGTCAAAAAGCAATTCAAAATCCCCAAATCTGGAGCTTAGTGTACTTGATCTGTATACTTTTTAGTGGACCTGGCAAAATCCTCCATGAGATTGTAATATAGGCACTGTCAATTTTCTTTTACTTCTTATTTTTTCATGATCTCATTCGTCGATGAGAACAATCTGCTGCGGCAGAGTTTTTTCTTTAAGGCATATACTTAAAGCATAGCTTCTTTTCTTTTTGTTCTGTCCATGTATATGTTTGGTGTGCATTTTTTTGCCATCTTAAAACCTGTTTTGGAGGCATGTATATGTATAATTTCTCCTTTCGTGGGAGAATACATTTGTACTTCTATTTCTAAGATTTTGAAATTGAGTTCTATTGCTCGGTAAGTGACTTTAAAGATTAGGGGTGCATATGCCATTTATTTTTCTAGATTTAGCAAATTACTGGTGATATAACTATGACATTTGGTTTATGAAAGAAGGAAAAGCAAAAGTAATTTTTTGCCTTCCAGTGGGAAAAATATCTAACAATTTCTCCGTTCTGTGGTCATTCATTTGCAAAGAGATTGCAAAAACGAGTTTTTATTTAGTAGTTTGCTTGCCTTTTCCCTTTAGTAACACAAAAAACCTGCTCAAAGTGGCTATTTCATTTTTCCACTTCCACTTAACAAAGTGTCAATTTCGTATGACGAATTGTTGGAAAGCTGGTAACACTTGATGGAACTTTTCGAGGCACAGACAAGACTCTTGATTTTTTTTTTTTTGTTCATTTCCATGATCGCATGATCTTAAACTAGATATATTCATCTCAATTCGAAAGTTGTGTTTCATGTCAAGTGCAAGGAAGCAAACTGTAGTATATTGTGACCTTTAGAAGCAGCACAGTGAAAAAAAATTAATGAGCTTTAAAAGCCAAGAATGAGAGATCTTCCAATCTGGTACATACAGATAATTCTCAAATTTACAAAGCACATATCATCAACTGAAATTGAACTAGAAAATCGTTCAGAACACTAAACTCAACAGTAGAACTTATGCACGTAACTCATACTTGATCACACACTATATAGAGGCAGAGATCGGCATGTTACAGAGTTGGAGTAAGCCTAGTCGGCACAAGGAGGCCTCCGCTGGAGATTGTCATAGAATTCCAGTTCCCTTTTAAGTGCTAGGCACAATTGCCCAATAAGATTTAAGAATGTATCTTTAGACTCCTAAAATTGTACTAATTAACAGAAGGCCGTCTTAATTCTCCATAATAAATTCTCAACATCACGAAAGCAGCTCTCTATTCTATTGTTCAACCAAGGCAAAATGAACGTTCAAACTGAGACATTCACATCCACGTACACGTTTGGAAGATGAATGGAGATGACAATATAACTATTCAACCCGTTAACAGGCATAAGAGGAATATGGCAAGAACCTTAGGTGAACCAAGCCAAAGTTGGAGATTTTACTTAAATAAGTTGTTTTACCGCAATGGAAAATTTGGAAGAGACACTAAAGCAACACAAAATACTTTTAACGCATGCCTGGAAAGGATTCTTCTTATATTGCATGTGCATAATATCAAGCATCAAAAAAACATGTTACTCGTCATCCTTGTAAGGGTACTCCTCAGGAACTTGCTTCAGAAGCTTCAGCTGCAACTCAAATGCATCATCCCCTCTAAGCATATCACGAAGCCATGTGACCTCTGTTTTCATTGACACCTGAGCGCAGGGATAACAGAGATAAAGATTGTCATTGCAGCAAATTTTAGTCTAAAGCAGATTCAACAATCTCAAAATTTTAACAGATCCTAGTTATTCATATAAACCCAGGAAGTTTGCACAGAATATTATTCTTTCTCATATCAATGTGTTGACTCCATTGATTGCTTCCTTGGGAAATAGCACCTATAGGCCTTAAGGGGACAATTTGGAGGGTTAGAAATAGAAGAGCGTTTGAGGGAGTTGAAAAATGTATGGATTAAAGAGAAATCTCTTTGTTTCTTAATTTTTTTGACACTTCCGGAGCACCTTTAATATTCCAGTAAGCATAGATGATTGGCTACAATTTATAGAGAATCATGTATAAGCCTAGCGATTCTATTTTTTTTTAATACATCCTGTATGAGGAGCAACTACTTCTCAACTAATACATCTTTTTCTAAAAGAGAGCTATGTTCATGACAGATTATGAAAATAACCACTTTACTCTTACCACATAGCAAAGCAATAGAATGAAATCAAATTTCATGTGGATCCACTGTAGCATGGATACAATACCGACCAGATGGCAATGGCAAAATTTAAGTGATTCGAATGAAACACCAAGACGCTGTAAAATAATGTGAGAAAGAGCAGGTTGAATAGCATGCTAGTTCATTCCATATTTCGTAAAATTAAAAATCTTCCTGCACCAAAGAGGAATAAAATAAGGAAAGAAAAATAAAGACGATCATGCACACAATACTCTCCATTTCAGGAGAGAGGAAAAAAACATTGAGGCTATGCATGTCATGCCCAGGACAGTTCATTACAAGAAATTATACCATTAATTGGATAATCAGTTTGTATCGAGAGACCAAGCTTACCATCTCCAATGCTCCCCTGACGACTCCACTTAAGATGTTACAATAATATAGACCTTGACAGGTATCAGGAAGCTCAACAAAGTCTACCAAGGGGTTGTCCTCCAAAATTAGACTGCACGTTGTTCCCTCAACATCCCAGTTTGTCACTGATGCAGTCACTCCTAGGAACATTTTGAGACCAACCTGTTTACATGAGAAACAAGAAACCATGTTCGGTCAATAAGCACTTTAAGCACTGACATCTACAGGCCCAAAAAGTATAACGTCACTGAAGTACTAAATAAACACTACCAAATTTCTACGCCAAGTACTTTTCAGCTAAGGTTTTCAGTTCATGCACATTGAGGGGGAAGTACAATGCATCTCCTCATTCCACAATATCAACTAGAAGCCTAGGCTCTTAACTTTCTAGCACACCCCAATTATTCCATCTTAAAACAATGAAGAGATGCGAAGCAAGAGGTCCTCCCTTCACAAGCGTGAAGTGAAGCAACTCCGGAGAAGCATGTGCTTCAGACAACAAGGCGCAAAATGATCTAAGCGAGAAGCAGTCGCTTCTTTGACATTGGCTTTACAAGATGAAGATAGGAGGGAAATAGATAAGAAGGGCCTTTCATCATATAAATACTAGGATTCCTCTCCAGATATGCTTCAAAGCTCTCTTTATTGTCCCCTCTTCTTCTTCTATTTGCTTCTTTCTTATTGTTTTCTTCTTCAAGCTGACTCATTCTTCTTTCAAAGCTAGTCTTCTGCTTTTCTCTTCTACTCTCTCTTGCTGTCAATGACTCTTTTTCTCCTTTTCTTGTTTGTTTTCTATCTCATTTTCTGTTGATTTATAAGCTGAATGCTAGGACAATGATAGAACAGCTCTTGGCAACTAAAAATAACTACTAGTAATGTTACTACAGTTGTTGAATATGAAAGCTGTTCATTGTTGTCTTACACCTAAATTTCACTGTACAGTAGAGAAAGTTGTCGATATATTCAACTTCAAATGTGATGTGACGTTCATTATCCTTGCGTAACCTAATAGAAATGACTGACGCAATTTTTTTTCTGCAAGAGCATAAATTCAACAGCAAAGCTACATAGATACTATCACTCAGAGAGGCAGATAATTAAGCAGCAGCTGCAAATTTTTGTGAAAAAGAAACACCATCCACTATTTAGTACGTGAAACGTAATAAACAAGGTTAATGATTTGTGAAGCCACTTGAAAGAATGACTATGAGAAAAACATTAATAGGAGGAATAAACTTAAGGAAACCATAGCTCAAACAGCATAAAATTCACATACACATAAGTCTTTTTTTTAAATGGCAAAATATACAGATATAGATCTTTAGAATGAGAGAGAGAGAGACCTTGGCAATGATTTCAGCAGTCTCCTTGAAATCAACACACCTTGAAACATTAGACTTTGCTAGAAACTCGTCAATCAGCCTAATTCCTATATTATAACCCCTGCAAATTTAGTGAGCCTTCAACTTAATGCATTTGACACTTCTATATATAGAACTACCAAGAAACCTAGATTAAAATAAAATCAATAAAAGGGTAAGAGTAGTATTACATTTGATCAAGTTGTTTGTTGACCTCCTCAACCTCCTCTAGATCAGTCAGCAGTTGGCGCACGATTGCTCCGTATGTTAGAGTGAAAAGCTCTGCGTTCTTTCACACCAAAAAAAAAAAAATAGCATAAGAATTAGTGTGCAGTTTATACTGAAACGAACGGAAATTCAAAATAATAAAAAGCACGATCGTAATTGTGTTTGCTGTATACCACTCGTTCAACATTGGCGAAAATAGCGTCTCCAGATCTGGGTGCCACAGGAGCCATGGGAGTTCCTTTGTTACTGTGATCGGTTAATGTTGTTATCTTAGAGCGAGAATTCTCTCCCTATAGAACTGGGTGCTGGGTGATTTCTTAGTTGAAGAATAAAAGTGAGGTGGGACTATTGGGAGAGTAAATCGTAAGTTTCATTCAGAATTGCGATTTATAAATCGCAATTTAAGAATGCGATTTATCAGTCTGGAATTGCCGATTGTAACTAACATTCTCAAATTCTGATTTATAAATCATATTATCACAATTTATAGTTTCTAAGTCCATTCATCTAATGCAAATGCTTTGCTGCGATTTATGGTCAAATACTAGTAAAAATCAAGGATTTGAAGTTTATTGATTCAGAATTACAAATCTTTTAAGTTACTAGTTTCTAAATTAATAATTTATAATTATTCAATAAATTTTCTTAAGACAAATACATAATTTGGACTAAAGCTACTTGGTTCTGCCGAACCCGTAGGTTCTGTTCTCCCTCTGCCCCAGCCAAATGTTCTCCCTCCGCCCCAGTCAAATGCAATTATAAGTACGACTTATTTCAACTACGACAAGTCATATGTCATAAACGGGTTTCGTCTATTCTTTCCGTTAAGGTTTATTCTTAAGTCGCATTCTACAAATGTGTTTTTGTTATTTTTTATATTCCCTTAAAACGACACACCGCTAAAATTGTTGAACCATAGATGCACATGTAGGAAGAAAAAATCGACTTGTCAGGTATATAAGCATATATTATTATTATCACACATTTTACCCTTTTCTCATTAGGCAAAGTACAACTATGTAAGCATATAGTACTTTCTTTGTAACTTGCAGAGATATCTCAATGGAATCCAAATAGTAAGGTGCGAGGAGGATCTTTCGATAAAGTTTCTCATGATTCTCGATATGAACGTATTAACTGCAATTGAAGCATGAGTTAGCATGATCACACCCAATTATGCCTCTT